TATTATCTATCTATATATTTCTTAATATTATTGTTCTTCTCTCTCTCTCCCCTCCTCTCTCTCTCTGTCTCTCTCTCTCTCTTGTCATATTCTACTTTAATTTGTATTTAAGCGAATAAATTTTTCGTTATCAACGATTATTAGGTTAACTCGATCAACGATTGAACGATAATCAATGTGTTATAAAATAATTATTTTCCATTTGAGCAAACTCTCGTTCTTTTTTCGCAAAGAAAAAAAAATCACATGGTTTTTAAATCCAAATGAAAAAATTCTGATTGTCCATTCGTTAACAAACCAACACGCTTTCTCGGTGTTTTAGGTCAAGTGGATTCTCTCTAGAGTCCTAGTGTCTAGAGATTCTTGCTTTACTTAGATATTTTAAATTCTAAAAAAAAAATAACATATTCATCTTGTTATCATTAGTTGGATGTTTTCAAACAAATTTCGTAATATTGTTTTTTTTCGATTATATACATCGATTTAGAACATTATTAGTGCAAATTTTTCTTTGATTTACCAACTCTCGAAATCATTTCATTTTTATGCATCAAATTTAAAGTAAAGAAAAAAAAAAAAAAACAAAGTTTCGTTTGAATAAAATTATTCGATTGCAAGAAGGCATAATATTTATCCGAGGATTTTTATTTTTTATTATATTAATTTTGTTACTTTTATAAATACATTTATTCTTTTTGATAATTATATATATATATATTTCGATCGATACCTAAAAAAAAATGAAAATTAAATGAATCAATTCGATATATTGCTGCAACAAACCTGTTATAACGATTCGATAATTTCGATTCTATTGTTAACAATTTATCTTATTCAGTCAGCAATATTTTTTTGTGAAAACATTCTTGACCCAGGATAAGGTTACGCCATTTGCTTTCCCTTAGAGTAGGCGTAATCAGTTGAAATTCTGGCACTTTGCCAGTTACGAAAAAATAGGTTATCGATCAAGCGTTTGTATTTAACAATCTCAAATTTGTCGAAATACCTAGCAAAGTGTACATTTTTTTTTTGTCCTTTAATTCCTTCCATTTTTATTTCTCTTTATATTTTCTTATTTATTCGTTTATCATCTTTTTTTTTTAAATTTCACGATATAAAATAAAGTATTTTACAATTATCTTTCATTTTATAAAACCCGATTACATTTAAACGACTCGAATCACAAATTTTCTAGTTTTTCCCAGTCAATCACAATGCAAGTAAAATTAATAATCTGATAATTACTTGCTAAAAAGAAAGATCAATCGCTTTCCCGATTTTTATAAAAATGGACGATCGAATGAAAATATGAAAGTAGCAACAACGACATCTCGAAGAGAAATCAGGAAATAGAAATATTCGATAGCGAAAAAAGTATCGTTCGATAAGTCTAGTTCAATCGAATATCTCGTCTCGAAACGAGTCTTGCGATTTTCGATATAAAGTCGATGATGATTGATGGATCGGAAATTCAATGTCATCGATATGAAATATGTCGATATTGTGGTAAAGAATAAATACAATGGCAGTGAGAACGATTCTTTTATCTTACGAAACGTATGAAGTTACGTAAATTCGTTTGTGTAAATATTAATCCATCTTTTTCGGATAGTTGGACTAAAAATCGTTGTTTGTCACCAATGTGTAACACAATGCATGAAAGATCAAGATCATATTTTGATTGAAAGATCAACACGGAGATTGTAAAAAAAAAAAGAAGATTTTTAATGATTGCTGCTACACTGACCGACCATCTGTTCTAAATATACTCGATATCATGAGACGAAAATGAGAGAAAAATCGAAATATTTTTCGTATAATCATCTCATAAATGAAATAATATGAAAATAATCTCTTTATCTAAATACCTGTCAATTAGTTTTAGAAACATTCGGAAACACCGTTGTAGAGTTTGAAGAAACTCGTAACGTTGTTAACCCGATCGGATAGCATAACAATAATGTAGATGAAGAAGAAGGAAAAATTCGAAGGAACAAGCAAGGAATAAACGGGTAAAAAAAAAAAAATCGCCATGTATCAATTACTACATTTTCGTAGTCGTTCTTTACGAACTCTTATCCTGGGATTGATTTGCTTGACTTTTTATGCATATTATCGTACTACTTATTACGATGTCTCTCAATATAACGTACCACGAAATGTCAGTGAGTATGCTATGCTGATATTCGAATAATATTTCATGTTTACTTGTCATGAAAAAAACAATGAAATTAATTTAACATTTATTGTTATCATTGATGGTATGTTTATTAATATATTTAATAATAATAAACTTTGTATTTATTATTCAGGTCGACCTACGTCTCAGGAAATTTATAAGCAACGATCAAATGTCACTATAGAGCCTCGTATAGGATCTTTATCCAAGAATGATTCTCCTGAATTATCAATCGTTGACACTTATAATGTACAAAATGTTAGTAATCTTTCAAATTCTTTGATTACTACGCAGTCAACATCTAGCTCTCAGACGACAAACGTATCGGTTCTTGTTTCCAAGCAAAGCAACGAAAAGTTACAGATACGAGTGGAAAAGATCATAAATGAGACCAAAGATGTCTCCGTTCCTCCAAATGAGTGCTCTGCGCGTGCTATTTACGAAGCTGGTCACATGGTACCAATTCCAGAAAAATGTCCAAATTTTGGTAAAGAAATGGATCTGGTAATCATAATAATGTCTGCGCCGACACATCTAGAAGCTAGGATGGCGATACGACAAACATGGGGTCATTTTGGTCAGAGAAGTGATATCAGTATCTTGTTCATGTTAGGTGCAACTATGGATTCCAAAGTGGAAACGATTTTGAGAAAAGAGCAAAAAACTTACAACGACGTGATACGCGGAAAATTTTTAGATTCTTATTCCAACTTGACGCTTAAAACGATATCTACTCTTGAATGGGTGGATAATTATTGTTCCAAAGTTAAATTTCTTTTAAAGACTGATGATGATATGTTTATTAATGTTCCACGTTTGCAAGCTTTTGCAATTAAACATGCGAGAGATAAAAACGTAATATTTGGAAGATTGGCTAAAAAATGGAAACCAATTAGAAATAAGAAAAGCAAATATTTTGTGTCTCAAGCTCAATTTAAACATGCCGTATTTCCAGACTTTACTACCGGGCCAGCATATCTCTTATCCAGTGATATCGTGCGTAAATTATATGATGCTGCATTGGATCAAACGTATCTTAAACTCGAAGATGTTTTTGTGACTGGTATAGTAGCGGATAAATTGGGAATAAAAAGGACACACGCTAATGAATTTTTAAATAAAAAAATTTCATATAGTGCGTGTAATGTTCAACGAGGCATTAGTATTCATATGGTCAAATACAGCGAACAATTTGATCTTTGGAAAAAATTATTTGATGGTAAAAGTAAATGTAAATGATAAACAGCGCTTAAAATAATTAGATATTCCATATCCTATTCGCGCGATACATAATTTGAATCTCATGACGATCGATCAAAATACACCATTCGACTATGCTCAGTTAGATGCAACAAATAATAAATTAACTTTTTTTATTCGAATATTTAATTAATCGTAATAGAAAATTTTCTTTTTCTTTTTTTTCTTTTTCCTTTCTATTTCTTTCTTTTCTTTTTTTTTTTTTTTCTTTTCAAATCAAGAAGGAACAGGAACCATGAATTGAAATTATAATTAATATACGTTATATCTTTTATATTCGTGAATGGACAATTCGTGGTTTTATGCCTTAACTATCTAATATCTAATAAATATAATACTCGTATAATACTCATAGCGTACTTAATATTTTAATATTTTGTAATAGGATAATTAGAAAAGCTTCCTATTTGCTAACAATTTCGCGTTAATTTCGATTGAAGTTTGTGTATTGTGTATTCATGACAAAGCGAACGCTAATTGAGAATTTACGGCTGTTTCTGTTAAAATATTTTTCGGAGATAGGTTCGTGTTAGATATTAATAGAATAATGCAACGATTTAATATGATTTAATTACAGAATCGATTGTTTGTATAGGTAATGATATATACTAATATAAATAAATTACATTAGATCTTTTTTTATTTCTACGATGAGATACATTATCGAGCGATCAATAATATAATATTTAAAAGTTTTATCGATAATCTTGATAAACTTTAGCAAACTTGAGCAAGTTTATTGAATAAACAGCCTACATAATTATTAAAAATATATGATTTAACGCAAGATCTTTATTTCTACTTAAAAAAAAAAAAAAAAAAAAAAAAGAAAAGAAAAAAGAAAGAAAGAAAGAAAGGAGGAAAAAGAAGAAGAATAAATAATCGCAGTTTTAACATTCGAAGGTGTATATGAAAGAACGTATTTATCGTATGATTGATTGTGTATTATGCATGTACTGGTTTGCGATTGATCAAAATGCATTTTGATTTTCTTTGATCGAATTAATGAATTTTGAAAAATCACGAAAATATCATATTTGCAACGTATTATTCGAAAATGAATGTTTCCCGTAAAGAAAGGAAGACAGGAAACGAAGCAATCTGATATTATTTGGGAAGAATGAAATGTACAATATAAAAATTAAATTATATATACCATATTGTACTTATATACCAGTATTATTGATCGTGCATATCAGTACATAATACACGAAACAATGAATAATGACTTAACGATTGTAACATGCCTTCCGAAATGACCGATATCGATTTATATCAAGGATTGTGTAACGCGTATACGGTCATTATTTATCCACATTCCATACTTTTGCTAAAGTAATTAGTATTCTTGAACGATTTGTATTTTATTCTTATACAAACTCATTACAAGTATTTTGCGAGATTAAACAAATGTATACATGACATATACGAACAATTTCCATATCGATTTTTCGATAAAACAATTGTTATTGCTTTACATAATTTATTTTATTTCGTAAACGAAATTTGTCTCGATTCAAAATTAATATAAAGGAATCACAGACACAGAATGTGCTATTATTTTACAAAACGTAAATATATCTAATTTTTCTAACGATATCCTGATTTACTGATTTCTATGAAATATTGCCAAATTTTTCACACTGACGCGTGAAAGCTCTAATTACTCTAAAAGCTCATAATTACTTCAAATATGTTACAAACTATGTAGTATT